GCTCTTTTTAACCAATAATTCCCCCTCTCCCCCCCCTCCCCTTGGCTATACGACAATGCCACCAACTCTGCATATAGCTCTTTTGCAGCAAACATATAACCACTACTATACCTTCAGCCTCGCCTCACGGCTGCCCCCCTTTTTCAGGTCTGGCTACGTCCCTGTTCTATATAGACTCCTAGCCCAAAATCAGTAATTCAGTTGTATATACACTGTGACTTATATTATGACATGCATGGGCGAATCAATAAAAAATAGGCGTTATCAACATTGTTCCCAGCCTGCGTTATTGGCGTTATCGACGTAATATAAGGCGTTACTGTAGTATAGGCCTTATGGGTGTTATTAGCGTTATGGGAATACCGCAAGGATCAATACTTGGCCAGTTACCATATTAATTTTTTTTATATGTTAATGTTTTATATGTTGTAGCGACCAGGTCCTCAAGGCCCAAATGACAACAACGTACAATAATCATGCAAATAGTGTGGATACGGCTAGTAACACGGCGCGGCGTGTTTGAAATCTATCAATGGCTTTTGGCAGTTTTGTATGTGTTTTTTAACGCGAACTATCAGGCACGAAAAACCGCGAATTAACTTATATGGACGAATGTAAATCCATAATGTTTCAAAGTCGTCATCATGGAGCTCATTTAGAAGTTTACTCGCGGAATATGTGAATTAATAGAGAGTTTAAGATCTACGACGCGGCCGGCTCAACGACGCGATCTGAATTTCAGCTAAAAAATGAACGCTAAGCAATTTCATAACTGTAATAAATGTTTGACGATTTTCAAATAACATTACAAACTGCTACGTTTGATAAAGCGATGCAATGTTTGCTGTAATTTCGACATTAAGTATCACCTTTTGGGTCGCAATAAGCTTCGCGTTGCTTAAAAGACGTGATAATACTAGCCTCCTCCGCAGGCATCTCACCCGACAAATCGAGTGGTGGGAAAAATTTATTTTTTTTCAAACCCATTCGCAGGCTAGAACCCATAGAGAGGCCTGCGGAGGAGGCTATGATAATACTTAGTTTAACGTTCTGGGGCCGGTTGTATAAAAACGTAATTAGCGCTAACTACGTTTTTATACAACCGGCCCCAGCTGAGCAAGACAAAGCCGTTGAGAATACCCCTGGAACCTTCCTGGAACCACAAATTATTCACAGTTTTTGTCTTGCATGACAAATTTCTTTCTTTCGCAAGCGCGTCGTTGAGCCGGCCGCGTGGTAGATCTTAAACTCTCTAATGTATGCACAAACACCTCCCCCAGTCCTTGTCCATCTATTACGCCTGAATGGAATAGGTCGGAAGATGAACAGCGGCATCGTCCGAACGGGCGAATACTTTCATTAGCCACGTTTCGGTGATGAAGGCCGCTAGGTCAGCACTATACAACTTCAAAATTGTTTCTAGGTCGTCTACGTTTAGCAACAATGATCTTACACAGAAATAGACAAATTCGATCTTTATGACAATTTTGGATAATCAGGTATTTGCTTCACTACTCAGTGTTTCTAGCAGTAAATTAAGGCTGCGATTCACTTCTTATCGTGGTGGATGGGTGCGTTGTTTCCCAAACTAGATCTAGGTGGCTGAGCCAATCGTCTCGACGAGGGACATATGTGACCAAATCCGGGAAAACTTTGATGGGTCCTAAGGGGCTGTTCATATGAGCCGGGCTGGCCCGGCTAGCCGGGCTGGTTTTCAAGTGCCGAGATCCCGCCTCACATATTGTTTGTATATTAATTTAGGATTGGGTTCATATGAGAAGCGGGCCAGCCCGGTTTGCCGGGATCTCGCTTGAGCGAGGCGAGATCCCGGCTTGCCGGGCTCATATGAATGCACAACCGGGCTAGCCCGGCAAGCCGGGCTGGAAATTTGCATGCTTTATTCCACTGATAAACAGTCTAAAATGTCCAAAACTATAGGAATTTATCGAAATTAAACCTCCTGAAGCTGTTGCCGTCGACAAAAATAAAATTTTGCCAAATAAACACGAATTTTATTTTCCCGCTAAAATATCGCGGGAAATCGTTACTATGAATAGATATGATAGCCGGGCTAGCCCGCCTCATGTGAAAGCAAAGCGGGCCAGCTCGGCAAAGCGGGCCAGCTCGGTTAACAGGGTTCATATGAACAGGCCCTGAGGACCGGGTCCTTGATTTGTGGGGGGGGGGGGTCGTATCTCGCATAAAGATCTCGCCGTCTCGGGTACTTCGGCTGTTGGGATGCACGAGGGGATGATATCATGATAATCGCTTCGGAAAGACCTGACTATGCATGGTTATGGTCTTTTTGAACGTTTCTCGTAATTTACGTTATTGTAGCCTGCGTCACAGACTTCAAAACACATATTTTACTATGTGTAGTTTGAAGTCTGTGGCCTGTGGCGCAGGCTACGTTATTGTTGCTACGAAGAAACACGATTTATTCTAGTCAGAATAGGTAGTTGAAGACCATTTGGACACATAGCCCTGCGAAGTTCGCAAATTTTGTATATATTTGTATTACGTGCGGTAAAAATAACCACTTTCGGCTCAAAAATAGTTTTTCCCTCGCGTAATGCAAATATATACAAAATTTGCGAACTTCACAGGGCTATATTTTCCTCATTTTACAACAATTTTCTGAACCACTGAAACTTTGCAATTTTACTCATTTTAAGATGCTCTTTCCATGGCCAGCTATGGTAATGCATGGATTTTGTTCTCCTTGTCTAGATCAAAATTACATCTATAGACCCATTGCACTTGACGTCACAGCGCCAGTAACGATGCATCTGGAGGACAAATTAGCAATCTACGCATAATATAACTTTTGTAAACAAAGCAAATTTTGTAAAAGTTTATAATAATTTTGTATTAAAATGGTTAATTTTTTCGCTGTATGTGATTGTTGTACCCGAACAGATATTAGATAGATTTAGATCGAGGACGCGGACGTCAAAGACGACGTGAAAATGACGTCAAAATGGCGTGGCATATCCATACATGGGCACAACACGCCATTTTCACGTCGTCTTTGACGTTCGCGTCCTCGATCTAAATCTGTCTATTGTTAGGTAGCATCTGAAGGACACTCTAAGGATTTGTGACGTCAGTGCAAAGGGTCTATAGCTGGAATCATCCATTGTTAAATAAACAGTAATACAGTATACTGACACACTCGAAAAACACTCTGGTTAAAATTTCCCTTGGTTAACTTAGAAATAACCCTATTTGGGTTATAGCTTAATATTCCTGATTAAAGTAACCAGACAATGTTAGATGGTTATATTTATCCACCTATAACATACTGTAGCATTCACATGACAACGCCGGGCGTGGCGGACACGGTGGTAATAAATTTGCAATTGTGAGCTCTAGTATACTTGTACAAATTTTACAATTGAGAGCATGTATCGATGTTAATTCAATAAAGCTCTTAAATAATCAAACGACACGTCACAGTCGTATAAAGTGGACATGGGATCTTAACGCACCGTGAAAAAATTCGTTGAAGATGTTATCAGTTTAACTGGAAACAAATTGGAAATCACCCAGAGGAAAGGCTAGGCAGTTTCAAAGCAGAGACTACGATTTCACCGCCCTAACCTGGAAAACAAAACTCGCTAATATTTCATGAAGAACGGTGAAATACTGGAAGATTTTTTGATGAATGCATGTTGACTGACAAGCGACCACTATGACTGCCTGTGTTGAACACGCGACCACTATGACTGCCTGTGAATAGTTTGCGGCTGATCAATAGAACATGATTTATAGTTGTATCTGTCGTTGCAGCCAGGAAAGCTTACTTGAACTCATTGATATTATAAAACATTTATTATTGTCAGCTTTCTACACTTAGACGCTGTAAATGTGGGACGTATTTTATTATATTTCATTGCGCATGCGCTTGAACTTTTCCTGTATTTTCCGATAAGATATCACTGAACTCTTATTGGTTTTGAATGCATTTTTATTGTGCCGTACTCTGAATGTTGTGATCATGAAGTGACAGCCGTCAAGAAGTCAAGAACATCTAGATATTTCAAATTATTTTTGGAATATTGCGATGGTATTTCAACCGCGAGACCAGCGTGAACGCCTGAGCAGGCATCTTGTGGAAATTGTGAGAATATGTCGGTAAAGCTGTCGGAAATTGAGAGGAAATTGCGCGATTTGTATGATCATAAACACGTGCACAAAATGTTTAATTCACTTAGTAAATCGACAGTGGTAGGCGATGATTTGAGCCAAAAGTCTTCAGTAATTCCGGTCATTCTAAAGGCCCGTTTACACTTGCAATTTTTGCTGCGATTTCTAGTGCGACCCCTTTTCTGATGGATGTAAATGAGTGGATGAGTTATAAATGTTCACTAGATGAAGGAACATGTACTCAGAACATTCATAACTTATCTAACCTCCTCATCCATCAGAAGAAGAAAATTTAATGCCGTAAATAATCACAATCAGTGGAATGATTGTCCTAGCTCTTCCAGAATATTACGAATTGACTATACAGACTTATAGACTTTAGAGGAAGTTTAGTTAGATGTGGTGATAAATCTAAATTATTCAATAATATTTCATTCAAAGAAACAGTATTGTCAGTAAGATTATTTGTGAAAACACTCAAGAAATCAACCAAGTTAAGGAACAATGGATCAATATGAAAAATGAGGACATAAAAATTATATTTTCTAAAGAAATTTCAAAACAAATGTAATAATTACGCAATTATCCTCCAAAGTGTGCAATTGCAGGACACACAATTAATCATATCCCGCACTCAACAATGCGTTAAATCACTCAATTCTGAAATCGCTCAACATGCACCCAACAGATCGTTCAGTGTCCTGATCCAAACAAACCGGCTTAACGGCCAACAGAGCGCTAATTTACCTGATGCAACGAGATTGCTTAAGGAAGATGTCGACTTAACACTTGGAAAACAGCACAAATAACCGCTTCAGAAATTCAAATTACCACGGCTCAACCACGAATATCTACAGATAGGAAATCTCATCCTAAAGAAGTGTTAAAACCTAATTGTGAAATCATTCGAATTCAAGACGAAAAGCAAATTTCGAATAACTTGAATATAGGCGATTTGGGAAATTTACCACTGATTGATATACCCCGGTTTTCTAAACCGATACCAAAAGGAAAATCGACCGACCATTCAACAATATAAAATCCCAGTTAGAATAACCACCCGTTCTCCACAGCAAACAATCTCGTTCCCCGAGCCTGCAATCCTTGGCAGCAGCCTCGTACCCATGCTCTTTAGTAATTAATAGCGTTCAAAAGCGTTCAGATTTCTGCCCGCGCGCCTAGCTCATCCATAGCTCTGAACGCTATTAACTGACTAAAGAGCCTGGGTACGAGGTTGCTACAGTAGAGTAAAGTCAAGGCGGTACAATACCAAGGGTTTTCGGAAACGACCATTGTACCCTCGCACCGACTGGCCAACCCCCAGTAACATTAAAATCACAATGCATGCATTAAAGCAGGGTTCGTAGCGTTCTTTGAAATCCTTGAAAGTCTTTAAATTTGAATGTAGGTCTTTAAGGTCTTTGAAAAGTCTTTGAATTGTGTGAAAAAGCGAAGAAAGTCTTTAAAAGTCTTTAAATTCTTTAGTGAGTATTTGATTATACGATTTCCTAGCTAATAAAATAGATTGATTGAAGCAAGATTTTCGCAAATATCGACAAAATGGCACATTTTAGGATGTGATTTGACGGGACTAATTACTGGGTAAAAATGGTGCTTACAATCGCAATTTTTCGACAGCTGATTGCTCTCAAAGGTCTTTGAAAAGTCTTTGAAAATAGGCAGAAAATATCTTTGAAAGTCTTTAAATTTTTTTGGCCTTGGAGACTACGAACCCTGTAAAGCCTGGTTCACACTAGCAATTCTATCGGGGATCTTTCTCCTCCTGGCAAATGTGATCAAATGAATGACATGCAAAAGACTTAGAATTGTTTTCTTCTGAAATGCGACTCATACTTTTGTGCGTGCGAGTTTACTCATTTGCATCCGTCAGAAAGACAGAAACACAAAATCGCCGACAAAATTGCTGGTGTGAACCAGGCTTTAAGAAAGTTTGTCCAAGAAACAATATGATATATCAATATAGCATGACATGAGGGAAATTAGTAAATCCCCAAAGGCGAGGGAGGTTTGCGGAATTCGAGGGCGCGCGCAGCCCGAGGGAATTTCACAAACCTCCCGAGCCTTCGGGGCATTCAATCACTAATTTCCCTCATGTCATGCTATTAGTTCGTAATACTGTACTCTACCTGCAACCTCGTTCCCAGGGTATTTAGGAAATACCCTGGTATGGGCTGGTCACGTGCCTCGTCCAAAATTTAGCGCCCGAGGGTGTGTGGGAAAAGTATCAAATTACATGATTCCAGTGGAGATATTTTGTTTAACAGTTAAAAACATTATTAAGTTTAAAATACTTGCTAATTTTTGTTTATTTTCTTTGCTTTGAATTTACAAGAACATTCTTACATTTTTACCAACAGTCAAGTCAAGAAACCGCCAAGCAAATCGTTACTCACAGTGCTCTCTCGTGTTGTTATTCAATGCCGTCTCTTCACACTCGAGCGCGGTTTTATAACAAACGTTTATTATGAGCTTTTCAGTCATCATTTCCACATATGTAATGTTTTTAAAATACGCCATTAGATTTGTCCTTTCTTGTAAATGTTTATATGCTTTGCACCGATTTAATTACTGGTTACCACGTTGTTTTAATATAAGATTGAAAGAAACAGTATTGTATTGTCTGCCGTCTGGGACTAGAGCCCAATATTAGCAAATGTAAACATTTGATACTAGCCAAACAGAGAAAGTCTGTCAGTGATTATCAGGCTTTAGCCTTTTTCTTGGTCTTTATTAATCATAATATTTTCCTAATATACTAAATCTATATATTGTGAATTTACAGTGTCAGACGCGCACAGACTGTCATACGAATAAACATGTGTCACCTCGTATGTGTCACCTTGTTTGTTCTGGTCAACACGAAGGAAATCTTTCCAACTTCTTGGTAGTTGGTTGTCTGATGCGACGCGTTGCCTTAATCCTGCTCCACGAAGACTACGAGTAGTGGCTTTTAGGCTGTTCTCTTTGTACGTATCCCACACAATGTCAACACGTTTTACATGGCGAAGCTGAGCGATGACGTAGGGGACAAAAGTTGCTGTAGCATACCCCGAGAATGTTCTTTCAGTCCCTGTAGGCCTAATGATGTTGACCACTGCTGCTCCATCCATGATTATCACGTCGCTGTTGGCTGGAGGGACAATGTGTGGGGTGGTGAGGGCCTCGAGACAATTTGCGAGCTCGGATTTCTGTCGCGGTAAGCGCAGATTTCCTTCATCAGATAGTGAAGGTGGACAGCCTTGGTTTTCATGCCTGAAGAAATCATCCAGGTCGCCATTTCGTGTTTGGCAGGCTATGCAGGCTTTTCATAGAGGAGAGCTTCTGATTTACCTTTGATTTCTTCTTTCGTGAAGTAGTCGAGAAGAAGTCGAGCTTGTTTCTGGTAATAGGTTCATCCAGTGGTGTCTTCCGTTCTACTAAGCGCTCTTGAATGAATTTTTCACACTGCTTCCTTCCAAGTTCCTCCACTTGCTGCATTCTCAATACTCCTTCCTTGTCTGCTACTACTTTGGAATCCAAGAAAACAAGATCTGCGCTCTCCTCGTCGAAGGGGTTACCAAAATCTTCATACACTTGAATGAAAAGCGTGCTCACCGTTACTTGATGGGCTCTTCGTGTGCGGGTTATGCTTGACACCTTTATAAACGATTCTGCGGTTCCTGGCGTTGCCACGTTTGCATCTACAAGGGCTGCTGTCCATCCGCTATTTTCGAGCCACTGACCGTTCACCTTCAAAAATGCCTGCTCTACATGGAGACCACCAAACACCATCACGAACTTATCTTCGCCGTAATTGTCACGCATCTTCCACTGGATCTCCTTCGCCACAGCATACAGGGGCTGATCTAAGGCGATGACAGGAACTTGGCCAGGATTCAAGTGATTAACTGAAAGCTTTATGACGTCCATGGCATGCTTAATCATGGCAACTGATTTGGCTTGGTGAGAAAAAAGTGGTAAAAGCGCTGAAATTGCGATTGAAATGGGTGGGGTACATGATGGTTGATGTGAGTGGAAAGCGGACCAAGACACATTTACGTTTTCTTCCAAGGTTTGCTGGTTAACAATTATGGCGCTGGATTCCTCAAGCCATTTTAGCTCATCCTTCATGCCGCGAGCGAAGGAGCTTCCATCCGATTTTATCTCCGAGACAGTGGCTGGAATCTGAGCATTACCTCCTGTCGCTGACACAGGGATGACGTCTGTGTAGGATGCTGGAAGTTCCTTGATTGATTTACCGGTATCTTGTGATATATTGATAGGTGGCCGTTCCGTACCAGGATTATCTGTGGATGGGTGCTGAAATAAAGATATACCAGTGCCGTGAAATGAATCCTTTGCAGTCGTCGAGCGCGGGTTGTGGTCAATATTGTCCACGGCAGCTGTTGTAAAAAGGCCCAGATGTAGATTTGAAGGACACACTGCCCTCTCTTCCCGATAACAGCGACATACTTCATTACCAAGGTTTGTTGAAATGCTCATTACTCTATCGTAGGAAATAGAGATTCCTAATCGATGCAGTCTGTCTACAAGATCACGGCTCCTAGTCTTGGCGTCTACAGATACCCCTACATAGATTGGCAGAGGAGACTCTCGAGATTTGTTCCGCCGTTCCCGTTTAACCTCTCCTTGCCGGCGACGCTGATACGTATTGAACTGCACCAGTTGTGCGATGGTTAGAGCAGCTTGTTCTTTCGATGAGCGTTCAGCCTGGCCAATTATGTTAGGCCCGTAGAGAATCATGGTGATAAGGGATAAGAGGGATGTTGGGATAGAGCTACTTTGACAATTTTGCTCAAAAGATCCATTGAAGGAGTATTTATTGGCGTGTATGTCTTTACGGACGATTGAGGCTGTCTTTACTAGATGCATAGCCTCATCATCTACGTCATCTTTATGGAGTTTATGCAGTGCATTGCCAACGTCCTTCGTGAAAACAAAAAATACATTGCATCCCTTTACATGATTTGACATAAAAGACGTTCCTTAAGACGCGAAGTATTCACCCGTGTAGTACATTCATAACCGAGCTGCTGCAAGCAGTCTGTGTACATTCGTGCCAGGTCTGCGAGTTTAAATGTTGGCAGCTCTTTTCCAGTTGACCGCGTTTCTTCGATAAATGTGACAAGCTGCGCCAGGGCAATGCCATCCTGACGGTGAGGCATTTCGCTCTCCGGCACATTATCTCTTTTGGCGTACTCTGCGTTCCTATACAGCAATGCAAGGCACTTAGCGTGATAGCGTGCTTCTAGAGCAATCAGATCTCCACCGCCAAGCTTAGCTAAAAGTTTTTCGTCATTTAACAACGATGCACACTCACGGACTCGAGCATCTACCCCAAGTGTCGAGACACAGTGTAACGGCTGATCATCAGACTCGCACAAGAAACACGAGGGACTTGTGTCTTTGGTATAGGCATTGGCATTTGAACGCATAAACTTTTCACCACCTAGCGGCTGCTTCTTCTTTTTTCTTTTTTCAGCTCTTTTTAGCTTGGTCGAGTTGAAAAGGGCATAACAACTTCTATGCCATCGGGCATTGTTCTTTATTAACGTTGCTGCGATGCCACCGCCTTCGTTCAATCGGGATAGACTGATTTCCCTTGGCATACATCCAAGATTCGCGAACTTCTCTAAATTGCCTGCCAAAGTTTTATATCCAGCACCTATGTCTTGGCGTTTTGAGTCTGCAGGGCACTGTAAGGGCTCTTCGCTTACTTCTTGGCATAACGCACAAAGCCTCCATTCAGTCTTTGGGGTGACAAAACCTTCAGGGTCATCCATGGGATTATCCAACAAATTCTATGGATAATCGAAACGAACACCATCAATAATCACATTTGCTTAATTTGAAGAATGTTGGGTCAATAGAAAACTGTCAAAGAATTCAATACACTAAGAAACTATTTTATTAAATAAAAATTGTGGGTCACCAATGTCTTTTCCGATTTATATTATTTAAAGCCAAAATATCCACCATATTGAAATGTGATTGTTGCCCTGGCAAAGTAGCCCTGTAAATTCGATTTTTTTTAATTCAAACTCGTGGTTTATGCTGTTTTAAGTAAGGCTCTTTGTTTTTCAATTAGTACATAATAATTGTCCAAAAACTAATAATAATAAACGCGATTTGCCATTAAGAAACTGTATCGAAACACGAGAAGACAGTAGAAAACTCAACCTCGTACCCAGGACTAGTCGCGAATTGAAGGCTATGTCGCCCGCCTTCAATTCGCGACTAGTCCTGGGTACGAGGTTGTAGAAAACTATGCCTGAAAACCCAAAATTACTCAGAATTATATTGTCATTATTTTCATCTTAAGATGTCTATGTGTTTCGATTTCTGTATATTCCATTCAATATAACCCCCCATTATAGTTGAAGTGAAACTTGAATAGGTAAATATATTATAAGTCCACTTATTTACAAATCGAGTATCATATTTTTACAGAGAATTCAATCTGTATACTTACAGCTCACATGGTGATCCTTCCGTTTTCTTCACAATTTTACATATTTTTACCTTGACTACAAATAGCAGACTGAATATTTTTTACTTTAGAACGATCTGGTTTAGTAATGGAAATATTTTCTGAAGAAAATCACAAGCATATTGTGGCTGGACTCAATATCGAAAAAAAAAACAAGATGGCGGATCTGATATGTAAATTACTTCCGGTTTTAAAAGAAAATTTAAAAATTAAACGAGACTTACCTGTAAGTTGAAGTTTGATGTAGATTCTACCGATTCATAGTCAGGAACATAGGAATTACGTGAGATTGCGCGAGCAAGCTATATTAATGTTTACCAGTGAATGAGCACAGGATCCCACGTAAATAGGGAGGGATCATCTTAGCATTTTTAATGCCGTGAGTTATTTGTATAACCAATGTTGGGAGGGCACGTAATTCCTATGTTCCTGACTATGAATCGGTAGAATCTACATCAAACTTCAAGTCTTCAACTTACAGGTAAGTCTCGTTTAATTTTTAAATTCTACCTCATCATAGTCTACGTCACATAGGAATAATAATAATAATAATAATAATAATAATAATAATAATAATAATAATAATAATAATAATAATAATAATAATAATGAATCGTTTGCGTTCGTTGACCAGTGAGAAGAGCCAACAGCATAACAAGTTTTAATGTAAGTTCCTTTAGTGAAATACATTCAATAGAAGGGTAAGAACGCAGTCTATTTAACACTTGATTGACATCCCAAATAAATGCATAACGTGGCAACGAAGGTTTCTGTTCAAAAACACCCTTTAAAAACCTCTTTACCAAAGGGTGCATACCAAACGTAAGAGAATCATTAGCTACAAGTATGGTTGAAAGGGCAGATCTGGCTGTATTAACTGCACTGTAGCCAATACCCCTATCAACTAGTTCTGCTAGAAAATTGATACCTTCAATTACAGTAGCTGAAACTGGACTAATCCCTTTGGAGTTGCAGTAGTTTTCCCACTGTGTAAGGTAGGTTTGGTATTGTTTTTTAGTTCCATCCCGCCAGGCACACATGAAAATGTCTGAAGCTGTTGTTGAAAGTCCGCTTGTTTGCAACTGTCCCCTGACAAGTGACATACTAGCAGATCCAGTTTCTTGTGTAAGGGGTGTGTTTCTTGTGGGTGGCTTGGTAGCAATAACAGTCTGGCACTGTGCTGTAGAAGAACTGGACAGCTGATCAGCATCCTCATTGCCATGGAATACCACACCTGGGTGGGCCATTTGGGGATTACTATTACTCCTGTTGCCTTGTCCTGCTCCAGTTTCTGAAGAACTTTTGAAATGACACTGAAAGGAGGAAAATAGTAACCTTGGAAAGTGTTCCACTGAGCAGAAAATGCATCAATAGATTGTGCTCCTGGGTCTGGTCTATATGCGATATATCTGGGAAATTGAGCATTTAATCTAGATGCAAACATGTCTATATCTGGGTTAACTTGTAATTTGTCAAGTGCTTAATGTAAGAGTGTGGGGTTCAACATCCACTCATTGCTGGTGCTTATTTCCCTTGACTCTTTATCAGCTACTATGTTATATTTGCCCGGAATATGTTCCGCTGAGACCCAGATTTGTTTGCTGATGCACCACTGCCAAATATCTAAAGCTACATTGTTACATTGTATTGAGTGGCTAGTGCCCATATGGTTAATAGCAGCCACTGCTGTCGTGTTGTCAATCTTCAATCTAATGTGGGTATTGCTCCTGTCAGGTGTTAGTGATTGGATTGAAAAAAGAGCAGCCATTAATTCAAGGCAATTAATATGCTCTTCTGATTCTTGGGGTGACCAATGTCCCCCACAAGTTCTACCATCCAATACACCACCCCATCCAATTTTTGATGCATCTGTATTGATTGTAATTGATGGGGGTTCATGGTTGATGACATTGAATGCTTTGTCAATATTGTCTACCCACCATTGTAATTCTATTCTGGCCACAGGTGATAGAGCCATTGGTGCATCATAGTTTCCGTTATGGTCTTTAACAGCTAGAGATTTATCCCGCTCTAGTTGTCTATAGTATAATGGTCCATACATAACTGCTGAAAAACTAGACACCATGAGCCCTATCACCTTAGAAACCTCCCGGATAGTGTGATTTTGCTGTCTCTGCAGTGCCTTACATGCCTTCACAATTTTCTGTTTTTTCTCATCGGTTAGTGTAATAGTCATGGTGACAGAGTTTAAAACATTCCCAAGAAAAATTATTTCTTGAGATGGTATAAGGCATGATTTCTCAGGGTGCACACAAAACCCTAACTCGGTTACCAGTTTTACTGTTTCAAGCACAGTAGTCAAGCATTCCTGGTAAGTGTCCCCTTGGTTGTAATTGTCATCAATATAACCAGCAAGGAAATGACCTTGCAATCTAAGCGAAGAGTGAATTGGCTTAATAAGCTTTGTAAATTTCCTAGGACAGAAACATAGCCCATTAGGAAAGCAATTTGGTCTCATAAGTTTGACTACTGACAAAAGTGTGTCCATTTTAAAATGCTGATAAGTGATATTTTTATTCAAAGCTTTGAGATTCAAAATTAGGCGGTATGAGCCATCTTTCTTTGCCTTGAGGAATATGGGCGAAAGAAAATCACCTTTTTCACGTTCAACTTTTTTAATTACCCCTTTGCTTAGGAGTTTACTGAGCTCAGTCTCAATGATTTGTACCTCAGGGTCTGAGAATGTTTGTATGGCCGGTGGCCTAGATTGGACTGGTACATGCTCAAAATCAATAGTTGTACCTGTTACCATGTCAATAATTTCTTTATCAGATGTAAGAGATTTCCATCTGTTAAGGAAACTAGAAAGATTACCTGCTTTCAAGGTCCTAACATTTTGCTCTAGACCTGTCATAATATGTGGTAAAAGACTATCAAATTTACTTACATTATCAATTACTGTTTGTAGTGTTTCGGTGAGGATCACTTCATGTCCTCCCTTTTGTGCTGTGGTGTCCACACTTTCTTTTTGAATGGCTGGTAGCCTTTGCGCTGGCCTAAAAAAGGCTTGCTTCCATGCCCATAACCTTGACTGGCTTGAGGCTTGTAATTTCCACCTCTAGAGTAGGTCGGTTTGTGTTTGTAATCCGACCCTTGCTTTACAGTTGAACTGGCAATCTTGTTGCACTCTGTAATAGTTTTTAAACTATTTTGTACATCATCCCCAAACAGGAACTCTGTAACAGGGATTTGTGGACTGCAAAGAGCACGAAGCTCTCGATTTATTGACGGCCTCATGATGTCTCGCCGTCGCAACGATAGGTCATAAGTTGCGTGTCCCAGCAGAGCAAGTGAGTCAGTCAAAGAGGTTATAATTTGCTGTTTCCCTTCGATGTTCCCCTTGACTTTTGTAATTCTTTCTGTTGCCTCGGTGAGTGCAACAGTTGCTTTCACTATGGTCTGCTGGACATTTGCGATTCTCAAGTCCTGTGTTTTGACCGGTGGTCCAAGTTTCCCCCACAGTTCGGGGTTCACGAGAGGAACTTTGAGTTTATCACAATTTCCGGGTCGGATATACAGCTCGCATTTCTCTTTGAGCTTTGCTTCTTTGAGCTTCCCAGCAAACCTTTTGTTGACTAGGTTTGCTAGATGAACGTTTACGTCCGGACCTGTTTTGTCCTCGCTGTTGTATTCTTCTTCAATCTCTTGCAAGAGTTTATCGCTCTCGTCGCCATCTTGTTCGTCCTCCTTGTCGAGCAAGGCTGTGACGTCTCGATCAGAATCGTCAGATGCATCGTCGCAAACTGATGAAGATTTTCGCTTCTTTTGACGAGATGACCCCGGTGGGGTTTCTGCGTCATTTTTTGACTCTTTAGTCACTGTGTGCGGTATTTTCCGCTTTAGTGGAGCATCGGTGATGCGTGTATTTGGCGTTCCCGCCAAAAGATCGAGTTTCTTTCCAAGGCCCTTGATGGCCTCCCACATCCTAGTGGAATCATTATTTGTGTCACCGGTGGTGACATAATCTTGTGTTTGTTCGCCCTCTTCAGCGAGCAACCTTTCCTCGTCTTCGTCCGAAAAATTGGATTTTCCTTGTGCTTCGTTCACCTTGTCGTCCGCCATGATCGAAAGCTTACGGCACATGATATAGCTTGCTCGCGCAATCTCACGTGATTCCTATGTGACGTAGACTATGATGAGGTAGAACCATATATTTAGGTTATTCAACAATACAATGTGACATAAACGTGTTTAAAAGCATACAATTAATATTTTATGTATCGTTTTTGAACAATCTACTCTATTTCTAAAGGACTTCCGGTTTAACCAATTCCTACTTCCGGTCAAGATGGCGGCCATTTTGAAAATCGCCTTAAAACTCGATTTAACGCGAAATTTTGCGATGGCACTATATCAGATATTTACCACAACAATTTGATCTACCATTTCTGAAAATTTGGTGCTTTTAACAGAAAGTGAACACTTTGGCCCAAAATCTGCACATATCTGCCCCACTACCAGTGCCATAGTACTGACCATAGATATAGGAGACCTAGATTGCTGACTCGGCTGAAGAGGCGCGCCAAATTTGAAAATCCAAGATGGCGGCTCAACCGGTCAAAAATCATAGAGCGAGATAGGGAAAAACCATGTTTTTTGCATTTTACGTCGTCCTACTGTTTCCGATCCCGTTCAACCACCTTTTTTGGGGAAGAACTAACTGGTGTGAAAGTTTTGGATGTATATTTGTTATAATTAGTACGATTTACAGTTTAAAATTCAACCGGGCAAGAATGGGCAAAGACGAAAATGGCGCGAAACTGCCGGCCTGGTTTCTTATCCTGTGTATTCCTTCAGTCTTTTACCAGGTTTTCTAAAGTAATGTAACATATATCTGATTATTCCAAAAGTTACTATTATTTATTTTGTTCTTTCATTGTTATTTCGACGAAAATACAGTATTTTCATCTGAAAATTCTAGGGCATTCTATTCTAAAAAATCTGTTTTTCTATCGAAAAGAATGCCTTGAATCTCGGCCTGTTTTGTGTGCTGAGTGTAACTGCAAGGCCAGACATGGGGATTTAAAAGATGGTATTCGCTTGTCCTTCCATAAGTAAGTCTATGAAACACACATCGTATATTTGTACACTATAACATACTTCATATAAACGGAATAGTACAAGACTATTAAAATAAGACAGCTTTTGATAGCATAAAAACAATTTGTTTTGTAAATACAATAATGACACCAAATGTAGTTTTGAGCTTGTTGCCTACAATATAAAACTGTTTACAGTTTTAGTAAAAGAACATTAGACCAAAAGAACTTCTTGTTTTGGTGTCTGTGTTAGGAGTCTATATACAATTATATATATGCATGTTGACAATAACTTTCATAGAGGTCCTTGCCTGTTGAAGGTAAAAAAAATTGAGTTTTGTTCACATCAGTGAACCAAAAATACATATTTCCCTTCACACTATTTAGATTTCCTATAACCAATCCCAGCCGGCTAAAAAGTTGGATAACAGCAATGAAATGGGCAGACTGGATGCCAACCAAATATTCAGTATTGTGTGAGAAACAACTTACACCCAACAACTATATTAACCCATTAAGTTGCATTGTGCCCTGATGTGCCCTACTTTATTATTTTATTTTGTCTAACAGCTTTACGGCAGATGATTTTACTTGTC